TATCATAAAATCCAGAAGGTTGTGACACAGGATTTGCCTTCCAAAATCCGTGCTGGTTGGCATTTATACTCTTGTTCCGTTTCCAGGTTCCCCCACTCTCCTTTGATAATCTTTTTCCAAAATTTTTGCATACTATCACGTCAATGACACAGGTCTATAGTTTATTGCCTCTTTTCTGTCTCCTTTTTTAAAAATGGGAACTACATTTGCCGTCTTCCATACCTCAGGTAGTTGCCCAGTTTCCAGGGACGTGTTGAAGATTGTGGTAAGTGGCACGCACAACATATCTGCTCCCTCTCTAAGGACCCACGGGGAGATGTTGTCCGGTCCCATTGCCTTTGAGGTATCGATGTCCCTTAGCAGTTTCTTCACCTCCACCTCATCTGTATGTATGTCGTCCAACACTTGTTGGTGTATTCCTTGCTGGTGTCCCCATCTGGTCTGTCCCCCCAGAGTCCTTCCTGTCTCCACTGTAAATACTTCCTTAAATCTCGTGTTGAGCTCCTCACATACCTCTTGATCGTTTCTTGTGAGTTCTCTACCTTCTTTCCTCAGCCTTATCACCTGGTCCTTGACTGTTGTCTTCCTCGTAATGTGGCTATACAGCAGTTTCGGGTCAGATTTGACTTTCGATGCTATGTCGTTTTCTCATACTGTCGCTGGGCCTCCCTCCTTATCTGTGCATACTCGTTTCTGGCTCTTCTACTAATCTCCTTGTTTTCCTGGGTCCTATGCCTCCTGTACCTTTTCCATTCTCTGTTGCACTTAGTTTTTGCCTCCCTACACCTTGGGGTAAACCAAGGACTCGTTTTGGTCTTCCTATTATTTCTGTTTCCCTTGGGAACAAAACTTTCCTCTGCCTCCTTGCACTTTGTTGCCACATATTCCATCATCTCGTTTACTGATTTTCCTACCATTTCTCTGTCCCACTGAACCTCCTGCAGGAAGTTTCTCATACCTGTGTAGTCCCCCTTTTATAGTTTTGGCCTGACCCCGTCAGTTCCTGTTACCTTCTCCACTTGTAACTCTACTATATAATCAAAAACTCAGAACCACATGATCGCTAGCTCCAAGGGGCCTCTCGTAAGTGATGTCCTCAATGTCTGAACTGCTCAGGGTGAACACAAGATCCAGTCTTGCTGGCTCATCCTCCCCTCTCTCTCTGGTTGTGTCCCTGACATGTTGATGCATGAGGTTTTCAAGTACCACATCCATCATCTTGGCTCCCATGTTTCAGGACCCCCATGTGGCTCCAGGTTTTCCCAGTCGATCTCCTGTGGTTGAAATCGCCCATTACCAGTAACTTTGCTCTGCTCGAGTGGGCTCTTCTTGCCACCTCAGCCAGTGTGTCCACCATCACCCTGTTGTTTTCTTCGTACTCCTCTCTTGGCCTCCTGCAGTTCTGTGGTGGGTTATACATCACTCCAATGACTACTTTATGTTCTCCGGACTGAATTGTACCTACAATGTAGTCTCTTTCTCCAATCATGTCCATGCTTCCATTTCCTCAAATCCCCATCGGTGTTTTATGAGCAGTGCAACCCCTCCTCCCCCTCTACTCCTTCTATCTTTCCTCAGGATCTGATATCCCATTGGGAAAATTGTGTCTGTTATTGTCTCAGCGAGTTTTGTTTCTGTGACTGCTATGATGTCGGGGGATTTTTCACCTGATTCTTTCGTTCCACTCCTAAAGTTTATTCGTTTTTTTTCCATCCGCGTTTGTGTACCAAACTTTCAGTTTCTTTCTATCATTGTGGTCATGCAAGAATATTGGGGTTGGGGGAGCGAGATCCTTGGTGGGGGCCTAAAATGGGGCTGTGGTGTAGGGTGGGGTTTGTGATGATGGGGGTGGGTCAAATGCCCATAAGGGACAGCTGTTGGGGTGAGGTTTGGTGATAGGGGGGTTGGGGGCAGAGGGAACGTGAGTGGGTTGTAGTATAGGTTACTCAGTTGCGTTGGGAATGTCGTGGCTGGAGTCTTTGGTGGAGATTCTGTGGGGTGTGTTTGCCCTTCCTCCTGTGTCTGGTGTGTGTGTGTGTGGTGTGTGTGTGTGGTGTGTGTGTGTGTGTGTTGTGGTGTTGTGTGGGGTTGGTGTGTTTGTGTTGTGTGTGATATTCTTGGAAACCTGGGAAGAGAACGGACATTGAGAGTAATTATGAACAGGAGGTTATCACAAGATAACTACACCCCTGTCTTCCTGCACTGCCCTGATTATCCTCTATACCATGTTCCAGACTATCCTTACTCTCTCTCTCCCTATCCCTCATGCCTTCTGCTTTTCTATCCTTTTCACATACACCTAGATAATACACGATAGTCCTTACTCTAGGTAGAAGTAGATAGTTCTTGGCGTACAGTCTTTGCGTGGACTTCCGAGTCCCCTACTATCTGTCTTTCCTGTGTACTCCCACTCCTTTCCTCCCTCCTTCATATTACTTTCCTCCCCGTCCCTTGCTCTCTTTCCCTTCCTCTACTCTGTCTTAAGTGTTTCCCTGCCACAGTGCATGACCCGGTGGACACGTCAAGCGCCTACGACCCCATCATGCTGGCAGGACTCTTCGAGGGAGACATCCGGCTGAGTTCCCCTCAGGAGTTATCTGATATGATTAGAGCACCGCATGCGGTAAGTGTGATGTCCTTGTGTCCCGGTAACTTGTACCACCTGTGTCCAGATAACCTGTTTCTCAACCATCAGTGTTCCGGTAACTTGTCCCTGTACCACTTGTGTCCAGATAACCTGTTTCTCTACCACCTGTATCCGGGTAACTTGTCCCTGTATCACCTGTGTTCAGATAACCTGCTTCTCTACCACCTGTGTCCCAGTAATTTGTCCCTATACCACCTGTGTCCAGATAACCTGTTTGTCAACCACCTGTGTCCCGGTAACCTGTCCCTCCATCACCTTGTGTCCCGGTAACCAGCCTCTTTCACTACCTTCTGTACTAGTAACTAGTCTCCTGCACATTATGTACTGGTGACCAGTCTCCACCACCTTGTGTACTGGTAACCAGTCTCCTCCACCACCTTGTGTACTGGTAACCAGTCTCCTCCACCACCTTGTGTACTGGTAACCAGTCTCCACCACCACCTTGTGTACTGGTAAATAATCTCTTCCACTACCTTGTGTACTGGTAACCTGTATCCACCTTGTGCACCAGTTACCAGTCTCCTTCTCCTTGTGTACCGGTTTCCAGCCTCCTCCACCACCAGGTGGGTCAATACTCTGTGTCTAAAAGTTTACTTTAACATAGAAACATACCAGTTAAAACATACTTTGGAAAAGAAAAGCCAAACTTATTATTACTGAAGAGGGCCTCATTTGGCACTGGAACACATACTTAACTGTAAATCTTACTTTTTTTGTCGAAAATGAGTTATAAGGAAGACTTATCAGCCTGTCATAACTTCTACAGCTTTGGCACTTAATAATAATAATAATAATAATAATAATAATAATAATAATAATAATAATAATAATAATAAAAATAATAATGCGTGTTACAACTATCACATGATTATGAAAGAATCGCGGAGGATTCGCATGAGATCACAATAATAATAATAATAATTAAAACAGACAAAAGACTAATGAGAGGAGAGACTGACTGCTTCACTCTTGATCTCTGGTCCTGACACTTAGCACTAACCACTGGTCCTGACACTTAGCACTAACCACTGGTCCAAACACTTAGCACTAACTACTGGTCCTGACACTTAGCACTAACCACTGGTCCTGACACTTAGCACTAACCACTGGTCCAAACACTTAGCACTAACCACTGGTCCTGACACTTAGCACTAACCAGTGTCCTGACACTAGCACTAACCACTGGTCCTGACACTTAGCACTAACCACTGGTCCTGACACTTAGCACTAACCACTGGTCCTGACACTTAGCACTAACTACTGGTCCTGACACTTAGCACTAACCAGTGGTCCTGACACTTAGCACTAACCACTGGTCCTGACACTTAGCACTAACCAATGGTCCTGACACTTAGCACTAACCACTGGTCTGACATTAGCACTAACCACGGGTCCTGACACTTAGCATAACTACTGGTCCTGAACCTTAGCACAAACCACTGGTCCGACACTTAGCACTAACCACTGGTCCTGTCACTTAGCACTAAACCACTGGTCCTGACACTTAGCACTAACTACTGGTCCTGACACTTTGCACTAAACCACTGGTCCTGACACTTAGCACTAACCATGGTCCTGACACTTAGCACTAACCACTGGTCCTGACACTTAGCACTAACCACTGGTCCTGACACTTAGCACTAACTACTGGCCCTGACACTTAGCACTAACTACTGGTCCTGACACTTAAGCACTAACCAGTGTATCCTGACACTTAGCACTAACACTGGTCTGACACTTAGCACTAATCCACTGGTCCTGACACTTAGCATAACCAGTGGTCCTGACACTTAGCACCAACCACTGGTCCTGACAATTAGCACTAACCACTGGTCCTGACACTTAGCACTAACCACTGGTCCAAACACTTAGCACTAACCACTGGTCCTGACACTTAGCACTAACCACTGGTCCTGACACTTAGCACTAACCACTGGTCCTGACACTTAGCACTAACCACTGGTCCTGACACTTAGCACTAACCACTGGTCCGACACTTAGCACTAACCACTGGTCCTGACATTTAGCACTAACCACTGGTCCAGACACTTAGCACTAACCACTGGTCCTGACACTTAGCACTAACCACTGGTCCTGACACTTAGCACTAACCACTGGTCCTGACACTTAGCACTAATCACTGGTCCTGACACTTAGCACTAACTACTGGTCCTGACACTTAGCACTAACCACTGGTCCTGACACTTAGCACTAACCAGTGGTCCTGACACTTAGCACTAACCACTGGGACCTGACACTTAGCACTAACCACTGGTCCTGACACTTAGCACAAAACCACTGGCCCTGACACTTAGCACTAACTACTGGTCCTGACACTTAGCACTAACCAGTGGTCCTGACACTTAGCACTAACCACTGGTCCTGACACTTAGCACTAACCACTGGTCCTGACACTTAGCACTAACCAGTGGTCCTGACACTTATCACTAACCACTGGTCCTGACAATTAGCACTAACCACTGGTCCTGACACTTAGCACTAACCAGGTCCTAAACACTTAGCACTAACCACTGGTCCTGACACTTAGCACTAACCACTGGTCCTGACACTTAGCGCTAACCACTGGTCCTGACACTTAGCACTAACCACTGGTCCTGACACTTAGCACTAACCACTGGTCCTGACACATAGCACTAACCATGGTCCTGACACTTAGCACTAACACTGGTCCTGACACTTAGCGCTAACCACTGGTCCTGACACTTAGCACTAACCACTGGTCCTGACACTTAGCACTAGCCACTGGTCCTGACACTTAGCACTAACCACTGGTCCTGACACTTAGCACTAACCACTGGTCCTGACACTTAGCACTAACTACTGGTCCTGACACTTAGCACTAACCACTGGCCCTGACACTTAGCACAACCATGGTCCTGACCTTAGCACTAACCACTGGTCCTGACACTTAGCACTAACCACTGGTCCTGACACTTAGCACTAACCACTGGTCCTGACACTTGCACTAACCACTGGTCCTGATACTTAGCACTAACTACTGGTCCTGACACTTAGCACTAAACCACTGGTCCTGGACACCTTAGCCACTAACCACTGGTCCTGACACCTTAGCACTAACACTGGTCCTGACACTTAGCACTAACCACTGGTCCTGACACTTAGCACTAACCACTGGTCCTGACACTTAGCACAAACCCACTGGTCTGACACTTAGCACTAACCACTGGTCCTGACACTTAGCACTAACTACTGGTCCTGACACTTAGCACTAACCAGTGGTCCTGACACTTAGCACTAACCACTGGTCCTGACACTTAGCACTAACCACTGGTCCTGACACTTAGCACTAACCACTGGTCCTGACACTTAGCACTAACCACTGGTCCTGACACTTAGCACTAACCACTGGTCCTGACACTTAGCACTAACCACTGGTCCTGACACTTAGCACTAACCACTGGTCCTGACACTTAGCACTAACCACTGGTCCTGACACTTAGCACTAACCAGTGATCCTGACACTTAACACTAACCACTGGTCCTGACAATTAGCACTAACCACTGGTCCTGACACTTAGCACTAACCACTGATCCTGACACTTAGCACTAACCACTGATCCTGACACTTAGCACTAACCACTGATCCTGACACTTAGCACTAACCAGTGGTCCTGACACTTAGCACTAACCACTGGTCCTGACACTTAGCACTAACCACTGGTCCTGACACTTAGCACTAACCACTGGTCCTGACACTTAGCACTAACCACTGGTCCTGACACTTAGCACTAACCACTGGTCCTGAGACTTAGCACTAACCAGTGGTCCTGACACTTAGCACTAACTACTGGTCCTGACACTTAGCACTAACCACTGATCCTGACACTTAGCACTAACCACTGATCCTGACACTTAGCACTAACCACTGGTCCTGACACTCTACACCAACCACTGGTCCTGACACTCGACACCAACCATTGGTCCTGACACTCGACACCAACCACTTGTCCTGACACTCGACACCAACCACTTGTCCTGACACTTGACACCAACCACTGGTCCTGACACTCTACACCAACCACTGGTCCTGACACTCGACACCAACCACTGGTCCTGACACTCTACACCAACCACTGGTCCTGACACTCGACACCAACCACTGGTCCTGACACTCGACACTAACCACTGGTCCTGACACTCGACACCAACCACTGGTCCTGACACTCGACACCAACCACTGGTCCTGACACTCGACACCAACCATTGGTCCTGACACTCGACACCAACCACTGGTCCTGACACTCTACACCAACCACTGGTCCTGACACTCGACACCAACCACTGTTCCTGACACTCGACACCAACCACTGGTCCTGACACTCGACACCAACCACTGGTCCTGACACTCGACACAAACCACTGGTCCTGACACTCGACACCAACCATTGGTCCTGACACTCGACACCAACCACTGTCCTGACACTCGACACCAACCACTGGTCCTGACACTCGACACCAACCACTGGTCCTGACACTTAGCACCAACCACTGGTCCTGACACTTAGTGCTAACCACTGGTCCTGACACTTAGTGCTAACCACTGGTCCTGACACTCGACACCAACCATTGGTCCTGACACTCGACACCAACCATTGGTCCTGACACTCGACACCAACCACTGGTCCTGACACTCGACACCAACCACTGGTCCTGACACTCGACACAACCACTGGTCCTGACACTCGACACCAACCACTGGTCCTGACACTCGACACCAACCACTGGTCCTGACACTCGACACCAACCACTGGTCCTGACACTCGACACCAACCACTGGTCCTGACACTCGACACCAACCACTGGTCCTGACACTCGACACCAACCACTGGTCCTGACACTCGACACCAACCACTGGTCCTGACACTCGACGCCAACCACTGGTCCTGACACTCGACACCACCCACTGGTCCTGACACTCGACACCAACCACTGGTCCTGACACTCGACACCAACCACTGGTCTTGACACTCGACACCAACCACTGGTCCTGACACTTACAGAGGAACGCCATGGTTGAGATGGAGAACCGGTGGACCAACGGTGTGCTTCCCTACGTCATCTCACAATCCTTCAGTAAGTTTTATGTTAAATAGGTTCAGTTAATTTATATTTGCATATCTTGATAAATCAGACACATGTGCAATACTTGAGTATCTTTACTGTGGAAACGTTTCGCCACACAGCGACTTCATCAGTCTAGTACAAAGAACAGTGAAGGAGATTGAGGTAATCATTCCCTCAGTCTAGAGTTAATGTAATTAGTCTTGATGATGTATTATACTGATAAAACCATTTTGTGGCTATACGTCTACAAATAAAAATACCCAGATGTCGCACATGTGTCTAATTCATCTCAATCTTCTTGATGGATTGATTACATCGACTCCAGGCTGAGGGATTGATTACCTCAATCATTTTCTGATCTACACTATTCTTCTTCGTATTGGACTGATGAAGCCACTGTGTAGAGAAACATCACCACAATTAGGATACCCCAAGTGTTGCACATGTATCTAATTTATCAACGTGTCGGTTCTTTGAACCATTTATCAATATTTGCATATCTTACTTAATTCTCTTATTTTTTTTCCTGAGTACAATGAGTTACTGCTCCTTGATGCCGCTGAGGGGCTCGTGATCCACGAAATTGGAACCGTGCTCCCTTTCCTTGGATTGAACCTGAATGCCTCCCATTCCCTTAGGTGCTGTATGATCTCCTACGGGTTTAGCGTTCCCCCTCTAAATGTAATAATAGGTAGGTATAATGTTTGTCAGGAAACAGGACAAGTGTTTCCTGACGCAGAGCTTTTCTGACAAATTTCCTGGTTTGTCAGAAACGTCGTCGCTCTGACGCACTGTTTTCATAGGTGTTGGAATGTATATAAATGAATTGGTAGAACATTAATCAGTAAAACCTTGCAAACAGCTATCGTGCCGATGTGGAAGGTAGCCACTGTGACTCTTATTTACAATATTAAAAATACGGCCCTAGCTTATAATTGCCGGCCAGTCTACATGACCTTAATACTGGACAAATTCATGGAGAAAAAAAAAAGTAACGGCGCAATATAATAGACGAGTATTAACAGTTCCACAAGGAATTATTCTTCCCTGTTATTACTGGCTTTTCTCTAAGATATTTGAAGTTTTATATTTAATCTAGACACAGAAGATTGGTGAAGAAAGTAGAGACCGTTACTGGAGATTTTTTTTTTTTTGTCTATTGACCATGTTTGGTCAATAGACAAAGGCAAGTTTGTGTAAATGGGGAGAAGCAATAAGGAGGCAATCAGAGGTGACTTGCCACAGGAATCAGTGTTGGGACTCTGCTGTTCATAATTTACATTAAAGACTTAGATTAGAGAACAGGGACAAGTAAATTTGCTGATAATAAAAATAGCCAGACAGATTTTGAGGTGTATATCAATGAGCTTGGAGAATTTGGAAAATTTGCTAAAGTCGGAAATGTGGCAGATGCAGTTCAATGTGGAACAAATGTATCTAATCTAGGAAAAATAAAATAATTACAGCCCATATAACTAAATTAGTAATGTTATATTCGCAGGGAACGCTGAGGTCTTGTGGGTCTTTGAGTGAATCATATAATCATAATTAACAACATACAACAATCTAATCAAATGCGAACAACTAGTTCTGGTTAACAGAAATTTAAAGCCAGTGAAACAGTGCTCAAGTGTTCGCAAAAAAGCTAATAGACCTCTTGGTTTTGTATCAAGAAATATAAGTAGCAGAAACCCCTAAATGCAGCTTATATTATAGAATGGATATCAGTAAGCTGAAAAACAAGTAGGACAAAGTTAATTTCTGTATCAAGACTCATTTCTACGAAAATCAGGAGCCCCGAACTTACTCTAGAAAGGCGAATAACGACTGGATACATGACTGAAAAATACGGGGGTCAGAAGCTGAGATACAAATGATCAACTGAAGATTCGCCCTCACGAGAAACACAGTTAAGCTACACATTTTTTTGATATGCTAGTTTTGAATGTCATGTGTCTAGTGGTGTTTGTGACAGTCTCGGGTTCCCAGACCAGGTGGAGCGAGCCACCGTGGCCAGGGCCATCAAGAACTACGAGGAACTCACCTGCATCCGCTTCGTGCCCAGGCAGCTTGAGTCGGACTACATCCACTTGATCAAGGGCGATGGGTAAGTGTCCCTGAATTGTTTCTCATAGTTGCTTTTACGGGGTAGCTGGGAGAACATCACGGCTCTAGAATGGCTAGGCAAATCTCAGCCACAAAGTAGATATTGTTATAATCGTGGGGCAGTGCTTAATCCGTAGAGGATAATTATTCAACACTTGAAAAGTGGAAAATAACCAGGTTTGATGCAAAGAATAGGACAGTAGCTTCAGTTAATGTATATTAAAATATATTAATATACATGATTCTTTATCATAACCTACTACACAATTTAGTTTACATATTTCGGTGCACATAGAGATATTTTAGAACCTAGTTATTTAATTTTTTTATTTAATATATACCTTGAGTTTTGATTCCCCGATGAGTCTAGTTAACCTCATGTGTTACTACAGCATATCAGTGTTCCTCACTTTCTTCGTTGCCTTACCACCATATCTTCCCCACAGGTGTTCTAGTTCTGTTGGGCGCAAGGGCGGGGCCCAACCAGTGTCCCTGGGACCTGGATGCTTATACGTGGGTGTTGTGATGCACGAGCTGATGCATGCTATTGGTTTCTGGCACGAGCACTCTAGACCTGACCGAGACAAATACATTACCATCATGTGGGACAACATCAAAGAAGGCATGAACTACAATTTCCATGCATTTCCCTGGCAGAAGATCCAGACTCTGGGTGTTGAATATGATGTTGGTGAGATGACGGGTGTTCCACCTTCTCCAAGTTTAATAAAAGTCACAATACTCTATCGGAAATAATTCATATCTAATAAATTTAATACTGAAAGTAAACAATGTCTCGCGACTTGATAATGGTTCAGGCCAGACATAAATATCTACTTTTCATTTCTGGTTCGTATATCAGTTATTAATTCTCCGCTTTGATTCGTTCACCTTTAGCTTCATACTATTCTGCTGAAAGTAAATGCTCCTGGGAAAATGATAAGTTTGTATTTTTGGGTTCCCTGTTTCCATTTTTAGGGTCGATTATGCATTACGGAGCCAACGCCTTTGCTAAGGACCCAAATAAACCAACTATCGTCCCGAAGCAGCCGAATGAAGAAATTGGTCAGAGAAAAGCATTATCAGAGGTAAAGCATTAATCTCTCACCATGGGTCTTAAAATTAATAAAGGTTTTACTGTTATTCAAAAGCAATATTAAACGCTGGTTATCGGGACGGGTTTAGGTAGCCCTTTTTAATGATCAGGAATTATGTAAGTTATGCTGTGGGGATTTCTTAAAACAATAGTCCCCTCAAGAATAACAAAATCCCAAATTATTATTATTATTATTATTATTATTATTATTATTATTATTATTATTATTATTATTATTATTATTATTATTATTATTATTATTATGCATTGAGGTACAGGGAGCTAGATTTATGTTAGGTTAGGTAAGATTCGTCAGAAAAACAGGTTAGGTTAGATAAGGTTCGTCAGGAAACAGGACAAGTGTTTCCTGACACGGGTCTTAGTCAGATGATGACCCTCTGTTGGAACTTCTGGTCATCTAACCGAGGCCTTCCGCTAGATGCCGGTCTACCCCTTTAAAAATTATGGTCATAGTTATAACCATTTAGTTCTAGAAAAACAGAGCAAGTATTTCCTGGCGCGAGTTTTAGCCATATAATGACCTTCCACGGGAGCTTTTGGTGGGATGTGGGGTATATCTGTCTCTGTTCTCGCAGCCACCGACACAAATCTACTTCGACAGCGATACCAAGATTTAAGAATATGTTCTGCTTACTTTTATTTCATAACATTAAACTATCTTAAAGTGCTTTTTGTTTCTTCGAAAAATTAAGTCATATATATGGCAAGTGTGAGACTTTTAAGATATTTAGCTGTGGTTTTGACTAGTTTCATTAGAGCGGATTCACATGCATTATATTTTTACCAGTTGACCTCTTTTTGTACCCTTAAAATTTGATCATGTGACGCCCTTTAGTGACAATTATATTGAATGCCAAGTTTTTAAGCGAGCCATTCAAAATTGTAAAACTGGTTGCATTTATTTTTTTAGTTATAACACAAACATAATCATGAATAACGTATTTATTGATCTATTTCAGTGAAAGGATAAACCATGTTCTAATTTCGTCAAATCTAATAATTTTTAACAGTTAATCTGTTTCCTACAGAAAGACAAGAGAAAAGTGAATCTGATGTACTGTAGTGGTACTCCTGTTGGTGTCTCGACGAGCTCACCCGTTGAAGCAGGTGATGTGTGTGTTTGTAGTGTGTGTATAATGTGAATTACCTCTGTATATCAACGAACTGTCTCCCATTGTTGCAGGTGATGTGTTTGTAGGGAGGCTTGGGGATGTGTATGTACTAGAAGTACCTGGTGATGTCTCAGTGAGTTCCCTCACTGTTGCAGATGATGTACTTGTAGGAAGTTGTGGGGTTGTCTATATACTAGAGGTAAATACCTGTTGGTGTTTCAACAAGTTCACCCATTTTTTTTAATTTATACCATGATACAGCTGTTAGAGTGATGGATAAGCATCACAGAATAAGATTTGTAGTGGGTCTTGAAATAGGATAGACATCCTTTTGCTCTCAGCAATTTCTTCAGTGAACGCTCATTCAAAACTCTTCTTCCTGTTATACGACCCTTTATGGATTAGCTTTTTATAATCATCTTCTTGATACGTGCAGTTTACGTCGAGGTTTCTTCTCCCGATGACTTCCTGAGATGTAGTGTGTTGTCATTCTTGTTCCTTTGGTTCACTGATGTCTGTTGTCAGTTCCATATTTACATTAGTCCTTTACAGAGGTATTATAGTACATATCATATAATATATACTGAGATATTGAATTATCAGTATATGATATGATATTATATATAATATATTTTATATATATATATATATATATTATATATATATATATATATATATATTATATATATATATATATATATATATCGTGCCGAATAGGTAAAACTTGCTATTTTGGCTTAAATTGCAACGCTCTTCTTGCCGAATAAGGCTAGCGAAAATTTGTGTATGCAATAATTTCGCAAAAATAATTCTGAACCTAACGAAAAAAAATATATTTCATTGTGTTTATTTGTTATTAAATTATTGTAAACTTATCTAAAATATGTTAAGTTGGATTAGGCTAAATTAAATTGCGTTTGTTATAATAAGGATAGGTAAGTTTTAAAAAAAAATTAATTTTAAATGAGTTCTTGCTAATTGACCAGTTTTACCTATTCGGCACGACACACACACACACACACACACACGCCAGGAGCTAGGACTCAACCCCTGCAACCACAAATAGGTGAGTACACACACCTAACCAAGCACGTAACGAAACTAGAGAAAGTGCAAAGGTTTGCAACAAGACTAGTCCCAGAGCTAAGAGGTATGTCCTACGAGGAGAGGTTAAGGGACATCGACCTGACGACACTGGAGGACAGGAGTGATAGGGGGGACATGATAACGACGTACAAAATACTGAGAGGAATTGACAAGGTGGACAAAGACAGGATGTTCCAGAGATGGGACACAGCAACAAGGGGACACAGTTGGAAGTTGAAGACACAGATGAATCACAGGGATGTTAGGAAGTATTTCTTCAGCCACAGAGTAGTCAGGAAGTGGAATAGTTTGGGAAGCGATGTAGTGGAGGCAGGATCCATACATAGCTTTAAGCAGAGGTACGATAAAGCTCATGGTTCAGGGAGAGTGACCTAGTAGCAATCAGTGAAGAGGCGGGGTCAGGAGCTAGGAATCGACCCCTGCAACCTCAACTAGGTGAGTACGACTAGGTAAGTACACATACACACACACACACACACACACACACACACACACACACACACACACACACACACACACACACACACACACACACACACGTAAAGTGATAATTTATGACTTACCTAGGATATTCCTACAATTTCTCAAAAACATTTAAAATTAGAGGAGATATAACAGAATTGTTGTGAAGATTGGCTAATTAATTCTATATTTTATATTTTTTTCAGAAATCCTTCTCATCCGAATGTAAAGCATTTATTCATAATGCTTCTGTTTAAATTTATATTATAACCTAATAATGTCTCTACAAATGATATTTGCAGCGTTCACGGTTCTCTTTTATATAATGTTTGTCTTTTCTTTGTGTGTGTGATATCTGTCATACCTCTACTGAATCTTACTTATCTTTAGATAAACCAGCTTCAGACAGCCGGTTTTTATGGCTGAATCCATGCGTATGTAATCATACAATACAGAGCTAGTTTGATAGTATTATGCATCCCATACTCATCCTGTGAATGATAATAAAAGATCAAGAGACATATAACTGGTCCATGAGCTGGGCACATCGCGCCTCTGTAATCTTTATGGTTACTACTGAAGGCTAATACTTTCCTATAAAGCATAATTACTCCTTCTTTCCCCAAACTTGAAGATTTTTTGCGTAAATTACATAGCTCTTCTAGTATAAATTTATGCTTGAAGAGTATTTAGGCTCATATTGAGTGTCATTTTACAGGTATATGTGAAGACCACCATCAGCACTGTAGTGCATGGGCCAAATCTGGAGAATGCGAGAAAAATCCCTTGTATATGAGTCAACAATGCTGCCTTTCATGTCACAACACTGGTTCAGGAGGTAAATTTTGATTAAGTTGTAAGTGAAATGTAATTTAATGCAAGATGAAGCATTATAGCAGCTGTTACAGCAGCTGTAAGAAATAGTATTAAAAAAATGCAGGTTTAACGAATTAATAATAATATAGCAATTCACCCGTATATAGAGATTAATCTCTTCAGTGCATATATATCCACTCAAATATACCTCTCGGTGTATATACCCTGAATTAATTCTGAGTATTAGTGTGCTGGTAGAAGGCACACTATCAGTATTTGAGTAAATAGTTTAGCTGAACATATACAGTAGTCAGTTTCATATAGGAATCAATTTTTTTTTAGCTATAAATGTACACACCATTTGTATGGGTTATATCAAATATTGAGGGCCAGATTAAGTTGTTCGACAATACCAGATTAGGTTTACACTACAATGCAGTCTTTTTTTTAAAAGGGGATGAAAAAGCCTGTTTGGGGTTAAGCCGCTTTAAACGGTCATCTTTTCGAGGAAGAACCACGTTTTCAGGAGGAAATGTGTTTTTTCCTGACGAATGGGGAAACCACCATCAGGGCTAGATTTCGGGGTTGCCGTATAAATCGTGCTTGCTAATCTGTGAGATGGGGGGGGGGTTGGTCCCCCAAGGGGACACCCTTGAATTTAAGCTAAGCTATTTGTGTCCAATTGCAAAAGTCACCAGACCCTAAAAACGACACCCAGAGACACTCTTGCCCGTCATCAGTTGGCCAATATGTGTTTAAAAAACACCATGATTCATGAAACCCTATATTGCGGAAATTTAAAATTAATTGATAAATCAATTAAAAAAAGAATTTTTTCAAATGGATCAAAAATTTGGGTTCTATTTTTTGATTTCTTAGAATTAATTTTTTGGAAAAAATGGGCCTTTTAAAAAAAAAAACCCTTGTACGGGGTTTACTATTTATAGTTTAAATAATTTTCGGCTAAAAATTCTCTTTATACCCAGAGGCAAAGTGGAGGGGGGAGGGGGGGGGTAAGACAAAGATTTACAGTATTGTCAAGGGGGAATGTGTTCCCAAACAAAAAGGGCGATGCAACGGGGTTTCTGTGGTATTAATTTGGGTTTGTGACAGTGTTCTATTAAACTTTTTGACCCGTTTTTCTTTAACTTTTTACAGTGTTGTATAAGCTTTTTTTACAGTGTTTTTTAAAAAGCTTTGTTACAGTTTTGTATAAGCTTTTTTGACAGTGTTGTATAAGCTTTGTTTACTGTTTTAAAAACCCTTTGTGGAAAAGGGTTCTATAACTTGTGGGACAGTGTTGTTAAACTTTTTGACGTGTTGTATAAACTTTTGGGGCAGTGGGTTTTAAAAAGCTTTTTGGGCCGTGTTTTATTTGTTTTTGACATGTTCAAAAAGCTTTGTGACAGTTTGTATAAGCTTTGGACAGTGTTTGTATAACTTTGGGCAGTGTTTTATTAAACTTTTTGGCCCGTGTTGTAAAAGCTTTTGTGAACCCGTGGGTTTTAAGCTTTGTGCAGTGTTGTTTAAGCTTTGTGACAGTGGTTTTTTATAAGCTTTGGAAAAAGTGTTCTTAAGCTTTTGAAAAGTGTTGTATAACTTTGTGACAGTGTTGGGGTAAGCTTTTTGCATGTTCTATAAAACTTTTGTGACGTGTTTTATTAAACTTTGTGACAGTCTTGAAAAAGCTTTGTGACAAAATGTTTTTTAAGCTTTTTGACGTGTTCTATTTAAATTTTTTTGACGGGGTTTTATAAGCTTTGGACAGTGTTCTATAAACTTTGGGACAGTGTTCTATGACTTTTTTGACAGTGTTTGTAGCTTTGTGACCGTGTTGTTAAGCTTGTGACATGGTTTTTAAGTTTGGGGACAAATGTTCTATAAAAAATTTTGACAGTGTTTTATAAGCTTTGTGACAGTGTTGTTTTAAGCTTTGTGACAGTGCTGTATAAGCTTTGGATTTTTGTAAAAGCTTTGTGACAGGTTGTATAAGCTTTTTTGGGCGTGTTGTATAAGCTTTGTGACATTGTTGTTAAGCTTTGTGGTGTTTTTATAAGCTTTGTGACGTGTTGTATTAAAAAGCCCTTTTTGACAGTGTTTTTATAAGCTTAAATTTACCCGTGTTCTATAAAAATTTGTTAAAAATGCTTTTATAACTTTGTGACGTGTTTATAAGCTTTTTTTACAGTGTTGATAAAGCTTTGTGACAGTGTTCTGTAAGCCCTTTTTGACAGTTGTTTTAAACTTTGTGACAGTGTTTTTTAAGCTTTGTGACAGTATTCCCAAAAGGGTTTGTACCCGTGTTTTTTTTAACTTTGGGGAAAAGGTTTTTAAAAAGCTTTGTACGTATTGTTTAAGTTTGTGCCCGTGTTGTATAAACTTTTTGGGCAGTTTTTGTATAAGCTTTTTGACAGTGTTTTTAAAAAACTTTGTGACAGTGTTTTTTGCTTTTTGACAGTGTTGCATAAGCTTTTTTGAGTGTTTTTACAAGATTTGTGACGTGTTCTTTAAGCTTTGTGACGTGTTTATAAGCTTTTTTGAAAAGTGTTGATAAGCTTTGTGAGGTTGTATAAAACTTTTGTGGAAAAGTGTTTTAAAAAGCTTTGTGACATTTTTCTTTTAAACTTAGTGACAGTGTTCTATAAACTTTTTGACAGGTTTTATAAGCTTTGTTTACAGTGTTGTAAAAGCTTTTTTGACAGTGCTGTATAAGCTTTTTTGACAGGTTGTAATTAAAACTTTTTGAAAAGGGTTTTTTTATGCTTTTGTGAAATGTTCTGTAACTTTGGGGCAGTTGTATAAGCTTTGTTTACAGGTTGTATAAGCCCTTTTTAAAAGTATTCTATAAGCTTTTTGACAGTTTTTCCCCATTTAAACTTTGTGAAAAGTGTTTTTATAACTTTGTGCAGTTTTTGTTTAAGCTTTGTGGGAAAAAGTGTTGTATAAGTTTTGGGTTCAGTTTGTTTTAAGCTTTGTGACCTGTTTTCATAAGCTTTGTGGAAAAGTGTTTTATAAGCTTTGTGACAGTGTTCTATAAAACCTTTTTTACAGGTTCTTTTAAAATTTGGTACAGTGTTTTATAGCTTGTGGGCAGTGTTTTTATAAGCTTTGGGGACAGTGCTGTATAAGCTTTGTGAGTGTTGTATAACTTTTTGGGAAAATGTTGGGATAAGTTTGTGACAGTGTTTTTATAAGCTTTGTGACCCCGTGTTGTATAAGCTTTGTGACGGGGGGTATAGCTTTGTGGGAAAGGGGGCCCGTAAGCTTTTGACAGTTTTTAAAAAGCTTTGGGACAGGGGTTGTATAAAACTTTGTACAGTATTTTAAAAAGCTTTGGACAAATGTTCTATAAGCTTTGTACGTTTTCTATAAGCTTTGTGACAGTTTGTATAAAAACTTTTTGAAAAGTGTTGTATAAACTTTGTGCCCGTGTTGGGATAAGCTTTGGACAGTGTTTTTTTAAACTTTTTGGTGTTTTTATAAGCTTTTTTGACAGTGTTGTATAAGTTTTGTGACAGTGTTCATTTAAACTTTTGACAGTGTTGTTTTAAGTTCGTGACAGTCTGTATAAGCTTTGGGGGGGAGTGTTTTTTATAAGTTGTGAAAAGGGGGTTTTATAAGCTTTGGACAGTGTTTTTTTTAAGGGTTTTGACAGTGTTGTATAAGCTTTGTGACATTTTTTTGTAAGCTTTTTGGCAGTTGTTAAGCTTTTTAAAAGTTTTTGTTTAAAATTTTTGACAGTATTTTTATAAGCTTTTTTGACATTTTTCTATAACTTTGGGAAAATGTTCTATAAAACTTTTGACGTATTGTTTAAGCTTTTTTGGGCAGTGTTGTTTTAAGCTTTGTGACAGTGTTGTAAAAGCTTTGGGAAGTGTTGTATAACTTTTTGACGTGTTGTAAAAACTTTTTGACAGGGTTTTTATAAGCTTTGTGCAGTGTTGTAAAGCTTGTGACAGGGTTGTATAAGCCCTTTGTGAAGTTTTTATAACTTTGTACATGTTTTTATAAAACTTTGTTACAGCGTTTCATAACTTTGTTACGTGTTGTATAAACTTTGTGACAGTGGGTTTTATAAGCCTTTTTGACGTGTTCTAAAGCTTTGTTGGGGCAGTGTTCTATAAGCTTTGGGGACAGCGTTGTTTTAAGCTTTGTGACAGGGTTGTTTAAGCTTTGTGAAAAGTGTTCCTATAAGCTTTTTTGACAAGTGTTTTTTAAGCTTTGTGGCAGTGTTTATTAAAAACTTTGTGACAGGTTGGGATAAGCTTTGTGAAGTGAGTATAAGCTTTTTTGAGTGTTTTTTAAAAAGCTTTTTGACAGTGTTTTAAAAAGCTTTGTGGGCAGTGTTGTATAAGCTTTGTGACCCGTGTTGTATTTGCTTTGTGACGTGTTTTATAAGCTTTGTGAAAAGTGGTTTTTTGTAAGCTTTGTGACCGTTGTATAAGCTTTGTGACATTTATAAGCTTTGTGAAAAGTTTTCTTTAAAACTTTGTGACAATGTTCTATAAGCTTTGTGACAGTAAATTTTATAAGCTTTGTGACAGTCTTGTATAAAACTTTGTGACAGTGTTGTAAAAAGCTTTTTTGACAGTGTTGTATAAAGGGTTTTTGACCCGGTTGTTTTAAGCTTTGTGAAGTGTTGTATTTAAACTTTGCGACTGTTTGGATAAGCTTTGTGACAGTGTTGTATAAGGTTTTTTACAGTGTTTTATAAGCTTTGTGACGTGTTGTTAAGCTTTGGACAGTGTTGTATAAGCTTTGTGACAGTGGTTTTATAACTTTTTTGACAGTGTTGTAAAAAGTTTTTTGACAGCGGGTTTTATTAAACTTTGTGACAGGGGGTTGTATAAGCTTTGTGACAGTGTTTTTTATAACTTTGTGACAGTGATTAAAGCTTTTTGACAGTGTTTTATAAGCTTTTGACAGCGTTTTATTAAACTTTGTGCAGATACTAAAAGCCGGAAAAAAAATCCCCCCCCAGAAACCCAAAAATACCACCCGTCCGATAAAAAAATTTTTCTT